GATGTCAAATTCCACAGTAGAACAGCCAAGTGAAAGTCCCGATGGTATTAGTATGTATGTTTAGGCTTCCCCTAGAAAATGAATATTACATTCTTGCTTGGGTTCTTCCAACTCAAGTATGCCTCTTGGAGGGTCAATCAACTGAGCTGCAACAGGGAGGTTCATGAACATCCCTGGAGCATGTAATGTCCTGCCTGACCATGTCAGAACCCTCCTTTTACATGAAGTAGAGCAAGCGAAAAGGTGGACTGAAAACAAATATCAAATTAGTAGCTATGTGGAAAATAATTTGAAATGAAGCATATTTATTAGGTTTTTAAAAAGACAAATCAAACAAAAAAGTGGGTAATGATTAGAGCATCTTTTGCAAATATATATATATTTGTCTTCAGAGGTAAGAAACATTAATGCTTACAATCAAATTCCACCCCCACCATCACTTGTTTTGCCTTCAACATCAGCACTAAGCATTCCCACAGGAGGAATAATACAGATCAGAAGTAGTATGTCTTTAAAATGCAGTATTACAGAACAGCTCCACCTAATCAGCCATCAACAAGCTTTATTGAGCCAACCTATCTTGTGCTGGCAACAGAGACCCACGAGACTGGAGGTTTGTGCAACTGTCCAACGGTACCAAAGGCTGATGGGTATGTGAATGGATGAACATATGCCAGGGGAGCCGTGCAGTATTGCTCTCAGGGATTCAAAGGTGTGAACGAAAGGCAACTCAAGATCATTTGTAAATTCTGGTCCAGTCTATGCCAGCTGAAGAAAAGTCTTGTGCTATAGACTTACACACATTGGAAACCTTTCCGAGGCGGATATGTTTAATTTTGGATTCTTCCAGGCATGGCCGCAAATGTAGATTTTCATTCTTTCAGTCCATGTGAATAGGAACCCACATCCCAGAAATAAAAGATCATATTCTAAGTCAACATGTACCCACCCCATTAACTATTTGAATCAGTCACATGCTGCAAACACAAATGATTTTGTGAACTATTACGAGAAGGTGCAACATCACAGGCCGTCCCACCACGTACTGTATACACATCTAATCATCTTATTACTACAATTAAACTGTTACAAATAAAGACACCTACAATCCCTCATTTTAGAAGAATGAAGGGAGAACAAATTGAGGTATTTAAGATTTATAAAAGGTATAGATAAAATAGACGTGAAGCAGATGCTTCCTTTTCTAGGGCATTCTAGAACAAGGGCTCATAGTCTTAGGATAAGGGGTAGCAAATTTAAAACAGAGTCAGGAGAAACTGCTTCTCCTAAAGGTTGTTACTCTGTGGAATTCGCTACCCCAAAATGCAGTGGATGTTGGGATAGTGAGCAAATTTGAGGAGGAGTTAAATTTTTAATTGGTAATGGGTTGAAGGTTTATGGGGAGAAAGCAGGAAAATGGGGGTGAGGAGCACATCAGCCATGATCAAATGGCTGAGCAGACTTCAATAGGCCGAATGGTCTAATTCTGCCCCTACATCTTATCTTATGATACAACCTGATAGACTGCATATAATTTGCTCAACAAGCTGTATTTATATATAGTCTTTACACTAGTAAATCAAGACTCACAGGACTGTTAGCAAAAAAAGAGTGACACTCAAGATGATATCAAAACAGATAACCAAAAGCTTGGTCAAACAGATAGGTTTTTAATGAGCTTAACAGAATAGAGAGAGGCAAGAGGCTGAGGGATTTAGATAGGAAATTCCAGAGTTTAGCAGGTAGGCAGATGGATACATAGTTACTAAAGAAAACTGGGCAACTTTGGTTGAAAATTCTTCAGATTGGCCCAGTGCATGTAATATCGGCAGGAGAAAAGGCCTCTGCCCCTACAACATTGTTGCAACAAAGTTCCATTTCAGTACTGAGAAGGTATGTACCAAAACTGATAACCAATACAAACCAGCAAAGGGAGAGGCACCAGACTTAGGCAGATCAGCTCACCAGACCTGGACTGGGCATGGGTGGCGGGGAGACAGAGCTTCCACAGGAATCAGCCAGGTACTCTTGCTCCTGGTTCCCACATAGTGCATATGAAGATTGTGATTTGAATAGGGTGATTCACAGTCAAAAGGCTGCTCTTGTTAACCCAGTAACCCTTCTTGAATCCTGGGTTCTGATATTTCTACTTTGTTTTTCTTGGATTCCAACCAACACTAACTTTCACATTTCAAAATGGCTCTTTTGGCCGGTTCACAGTGCCAATCACGTTTCACAATGAGTTAATGCATTTTGACAAGATAGGTCGTGGCAGTAGGGCGAAAATCTCAAGATACAGAAATGAATTACTGAAAAAACGTAAACAGCAAGTTTGCACTGAATAAAGAAAGGGCCATTAACAATATGTATGACATCCAATGCCCCATAAAGTACATGAACTACACCAAATATTAATTATTGACCCTTGAAATAAAATGGTGTTTATAAAACTTCATAAGTCTATTATAAAAAAACGACAACTGTAAAAGCAACCGCAACAAATCAAATGTCTCTTCGTACCTCACGAAAAAGAAAACATCTGATGGAACAGATTTAAAAACTGTAGCTGTGCAGGCTCAGAACAGCAGCAGGAAACCAGCCACGCAAGAACATGTGAGCTTCCGAACTTAGACAAGCACCTGGGACATTTTCCAAACAAAAATCGTACATTTTAGACACAACTGGGTTGGTCCAAGCTACATTCAATCTGACATCACCCAAAACAAATTACCTTCTTTTTTCTTGAATGCTTCATCATAAGCCATGACTGGAATATGAATTTAAAATACTGTTTGACTGGGTAAACATTTGGAAAACCAGGTGCTTCGGCCAGTTGCAGATCTCATCTGCATATAATCCTGCAGTATACAAGAGAGAAAAAGAAAAATCTTATATATTTTAATATACCATTTTTCACAGGACAGATATATCAGGAAGAATGAGATGGGCTGGAGTTTTTCCCTGGGGGTGCAGGGTGACCTGGTGCAAGTTAAACAATAAAAATGTTTGTTGAGTAGACAGAGAGATGCTGTGAAGAAATCCAAAAATATGGCTCATAAATACATGGTGGTTATTAAAAATTGCAAGTAAGAATTCAGAAATGTTCTGATCTACAGAATGTTGAGAATGTGGAATTTATCACATCAAGTAATTAATAATATATCATGGATACCTTTATGGGAATTCTGGACTTGTCGAGATGATTAAAAAAGGAATGCAAGGTCTTATAGAAAGGTTGAGGAGGATATGTAGATAGGATGCAGGAGGTGATGAAAGGGTAGGAGAAGGCATGAATTCATATCGGCACCAGCACAGACATGATGGGCCAAGTGGCCACTTTCTGTGCCAAAAAACTTTGTGATTAACTGCACATAATCATCTCCTCTAGCCCACACAGATCTCTGCTTGTGTCATGTTTTTAAACATGGCAACAGGCAGCACAATTAAACCTGCGGTTTTGAATTCAATAAATTCTATTAAGTCTAAACCTAAAACGCATAAATCAAAAAGGACACGGGTAGCAGTAACATGGGAACACTACCTGCAGCAAGTTCCTCTCTAAATCACACACCAGGACTTGGATAGATCACCATTCCTTCACAGTTGAGTCAAAATCCAGGAACTCCCTTCCTAACAGCATTGTGGATGTACCTACGCTAAAAAGCCTACAATGGTTTAAGAAGACAACTCCCCACCAGCTTCTCAAGAACAATTAGAGATGGGCAATATATGCTGGCCTAGTTAGAAACACCCATATGCCACGAAGATAAAAAAAAACTGGCAATAATCATTGATTTTTTGTTATTCCCTCATGAATGCACTGCTTCTCTGACCAGGCCACCATTTTGTTTCCCTTTGAGAAGGTGGTGGTGAGCTACCTTCTTGCACTATTGCAGTTCATGTGGTGTAGATACATCCACTGTGTTGACAGAAAGGCACCTCCAGGATTTTGAGCCATTGACAGTAAAGCAAACTGTGATATAGTTCAAGTCAGAAATGGTTTGCATCATTAATACCATTCTTTAATCAACTCAGTCAGAGGCCCACATACAGCAAAAGAAAACGTGAACCTTCCCCAACCTCCTAATGCGCAGATTATATTGTCTCAACAGCAGTTCACCCACTGAGGAAAGTCAGACATGAATGTCATCGCTGGGATCTCGCAACTCAAGCAATTACATTTAAAAGACATTCACAGCTGAAACTTGCAGCCAGGACAATTAATGAAAACTTCTGATGGAGGACAAAATCTGAAACCAAAATCTATATTTGTCTGCTAGATGTGGTTTGACCTTGTTGATCATTGTAAGCAAGTTGTGTTTCTGAGATTTTCCGATGCAAGAACATATGCTGAATGTTTGACAATCTTGCAGGTTGAACAGGGGAACCCTGCATTTTTTTTTAAAAATAGTATAGACAATATTTGTCCATTCAGTCTTTATACTCTCATCCCTTTCCCCAGTTCCTTCCCTCTGATATCATTACTCCATGTTTAAAAGCTAAACATAAAGTAGTGAACCCCATCTACGTGCATATTAAGAAGCCACAGTATCACTAAAGAGGAGCAGGGAATTCTACCAGTGTGCACACTAACATTCCTTCCCAAAACCACATCATAATGTGTGTAACAGGCGTGGTTCAAAAGGTAGCACTTTCACTTCTGTATCACATGGGTCCTGGTTCAAGTTCCACTCCAGGACTTAAGCATAAATATAAGTGGATATGAACATTTCCCTTAGTGCTATTTTGTAGACGTGTAGGGGTGTTATTACTGTGACAGCATTTATCCATTTGACATCACGAAAGGATTCCCTGTTCATTACCACATTGCTACCAGTGTGACATTCCTGTATGAAAATTGGCTGCCATGATTCCTACATGACAACTGCAACTATACATCGATTAGCTCAGTTGGCTCAATGGCTGGCATTGCAATGCAATGTGATGCCATTAGCATGGGTTCAATTCCTGCACTGGCTGAGGTTATTATGAAGCACCTTCCTTCTCAACCTCTCCCCTTGACCAAGGCGTTGAGACTCTCAGGTTAAACCACCACCAGTTGTTTCTCTAATGAGAGCACAACCCTATGATCTAGTAAGATTATGGAAACTTTACCTTCATATAACTTGGCTGCAATGCACTTTGAGACATCTGGTGGTCATGTAAAGCATTATGTAAATACAAATCTTCCTCGATTTCTTTTTCTAGTACGATGCTGCATTCAAAATTTCACTTTCACCTACAAAATAAGCCACAGCACTTCAAAAGCAATCCACTGCTTGTGAAGTATTCCCAATCCATGATATGGCACTAGATGTACGCAAGTACTTTTTTAATGTGGTTCTTCCATTAAGCAGCAGTGTGCATCAGTTACAAAACAAAATACTAAAGACACCCTGAAGCTCTCATTGAAATGTGGCAGATTTGATATTAACGACTCAGGAGAGATTGCTACCAATTACTTAAAATGGAAACAACATGTCCATCAAGCTGTTCTGAGACCAAGAACCTTAGTAGGAAGGCAGTGCAGAAGCAGCGAAGGAAGTACATCCTGCACTCAGGATCCCACTACAACATGGATGTCGTACCCTAATTGTAGGATGGCAGTCACATCAAGACCCAAGGAAGATATTCATAGCCCTGAGCAGACATCTTCATTGAATCGATGGAAAAGATGCACTGCAATAACTCACCAAAGTTGCTTCAACAGCACTTTTAAAACGCACAATTTCTACCAACTAAAGAACAAGTGCATTAGGTACATGGGACCAGCACCTGCAAACTTCCCTTCAAGGCCATGTATCATCTTGATTTGGAATTACATTATCATTCCTTCACTGTTGTTGGATCAAAATCCTGGGACTACCTTCCTACCGGAACTGTGGATGTACATATATGACACAGACTACAGCTGTACATGAAGGTACCTCATGACCACCTTCTCAACAGTGACCAGGAATGAGCAATAAATGTTCGTCTGGCCAACAATGCCCACAAACTGAACAACTTTTTTTTTTTTGAAAAGTCAGGTGTTTCCTGCAGGCTGCTGTGTTTGAAGTATTTCAATTTAAAGTACAAACAGCATTTGTTTAAATTACTAAAAACCAGCAAAAATGTGACAATAACTATTGGATTGCCATAAAACGTACCTGACTCAATAATTAGGAGAGGAAACTTGCCGTCTTTAACCAATCTGGCCTATATGAGACTCCAGGACCAAAGTGTCTCCAGTCAACATGGTTGACTCAAACTGCTCTGTGAAGTTGCCCATGCAAGCTGTCCTAACAAACCATTACAACAAATAGTGATTTCAGAAGGCAGCTCATTAATATCTTCTCAGGCCACTAGGAATGGGCAACAGATAGCATTGCCAGTGACTGACATGTCCTATGAATTAATTTTCTCTTTGAAGACAACACCTATCCTAATTTTAATTTTTTCCAAGCAATAACTTTCTTGGAGTGTTAACTGTAAGGAATAATTTCAGAGTAAAACTGTAAAATGTCTGAATTGTTATTTGGTTTGGGATTGCCCATTATAAATATCTATGAGTCATTCTGATTTCAAAAGAAAGGATAAAAATGTGAGCCTGACAATGTGTTCTGCAGTCCTAGATTTCCATCATATTATACTGATCTGGTATAGATTCATTTTAACTTTTATTTTCACCTAATTTTCTTCCCCTGGGCAATTTTCTCCCCTCCTATAAAAGGGCCTTGATTTCTCATTGCATTAGATTTTTGCAAGTCCTCGCCAATATTTAGGGAACATCATAAATCTAGACATTTGGCAGGTTCCCTACTGTCTGATTCTTGGGATGAGGGGATTGTCCTGAGGTGTGATAGAGCAGACTGCGTCTACATTTCCCAGAGTTTCAATGAATGCAAGGTGATCACCAAAGCACGTAGCATTCTCAAAGGGCTTGGCAGGGAAATGTTGGGAAGATTGGGAACAAACTGTATGCTCACAGAATAAATTGTTGACCATTTTGCAGTGACTGAAAAGGAATTTGTTCACTTGAGAGGATTTAGAAACTCTGGAATTTTTTAATCACAGACAGCTGTGGATCCTCAGTCGAGTACATTCAAGATAAAGATTTATGGATGCTATGAGCATCCAGGAATATGGGGCTAGTGCAGGAAAGTGGGCTGATGAAATAGATCAGCCACAAAGAGTGAAGGGCAGAACAGGCCCCAGGGGCAGAATGGTTGAGTCCTGTTCGTTATTTTCCTATCACAAAGGAACCTTTTTGAGGAGGATGAACAATGGTGAGAGGCACAGAAACGGAAAGCACTTAAGAAATTCAGCAGGTCTGGCAGCTTCTGTGGAGACAGAAACAAAGTTAACTTTTCCAGTTCTATATAGTCTTGTTCAGAACAGGAGTCTTAAAAAATGGCTCTGCACTTGGGAAACAGTGTCCCACAAATTTGAGTTTTTGTGGATGTAACCAAAAGGATTGGTACAGGTTGGCTACATGGACTGTAGTAAAGCCTTTGACAAGGTTCCACATGGCAGACTAATAAGTAAAGCTAGATCACATGGGATTCAGGGAGAGCATGCCAACTGGATACAAATTGGCTCGACAGTAGGAGACACACGGCGGTGGTGGTGGTGTTTTTCGGACTGGAGGCCGGTGACCAGTGGTGCTCCACAGGGATTGGCGCTGGTCCACTTTTGGTTGTCATTTATATAAACGATTTGGACGAGAATTTTAAGAGGCATGATTAGTAAGTATGCTGATGACATCAAAATTGGTGATATAGTCAACAGTGACGGCTATCTAAGATTACAAAGGAATCTTGACCAATTGCGCCAATGGGCTGAGGTGTGGCAGATGGAGTTTAATTTGGATAAATACAAGGCACTGCATTTTGTTGAAACAACCAAGGGCAGGACTTATACAGTTAATGGTAGGGCCCTGGGTACTGTTGTTGAACATAGAGACCTACGCATTAAGGTACATAGTTCTTTGCAAGTTGCAACACAGGTTGACAGGGTGGTTAAGATGGTGTTTAGCATGCTTGCCTTCATCGCTTAGTCTAGGAGTATAGGAGCTAAGACATCATGTTGAGGTTGTACAGGATATTGGTAAGGCCACTTTTGGAGTACCAGGTACAGTTCTGATTGCCCTGCTAGAGGAAGGATTTTATGAAACTGGAGAGAGTTCAGAAAAGATTTACCAGGATATTGCTGGAACTGGAAGGCTTGAATTATAGGGAGAGATTGGATAGGCTGGGACTTTTTTTTACTGGAGTGTAGGAGGTTGAGGGATGATCTTACAGAGGTTTATAAAATCATGAGGGGTATTAATAAGGTGAACAGAAAAGGTATTTTCCATAGGTTGAGGGAGGTCAAAACCAGGAGGCATATTTTTAAGCGGAGGAGAGAAAGATTTAAAGGGACCTGAGAGGAAATATTTTCCACAGAGGTATTGGTATGTGGAATGAACTGCCAGAGGAGTGGTAAATACAGGTACAATTACAACATTTAAAAGACATTTGGATGGGTACATGAATTGGAAAGGTTTAGAGGGCTATGGGCCAAACACAGGCAAGTGGAACTAGTTCAGTTTGAGAAATCTGATCGGCAGAGACAAGTTGGACCGAAGGGTCTGTTTCCTTGCTGTAGGACTCAATAGGAGGCATATTGCACTCAAAACATGAATTCTGTTTTGCTCATCACAGCTGCCACCAGAGCTGCTGAGTTTCTCCTATATTTTATCATAAAGTCGTAACGGTTTACAACATAGAAAAAGGCCGTTTGGCCCATTATGTCTGACTCAGTCAAGGAGCATCTACCTATTCTAATCTCATTTTCCAGCACTTGGCTGATAAGCTTTGTATGCTATGGTCTTTGTTTTTATTTCCACACTCCAGCATCCACAGAACTTTACTTTTATAATGATAAAAGGAGAGCCACATGAAGCAGAAAGACCAGAAAACGACATTTGGACCAAGCAGCCTCTGTGCTGTACATTCAATATGATATCATAATGGCCCTTGTATTTCGAGTAGGCACTATGAGTGACTGAACAAAACAAACAATAGTGCCTTGAGCACCAGTGAGCACAGATCAAAATTGGTCTGCACGGATCAAGTACTTGCTGATAAACTGCATAATGTTTTGGGAATTCAGAAAATGTTTTTTTCATCCAGCACTATCAAAGCTGAAACGCAAGAAAACTAACTTTAAGAAATGAAACAATAATTGATACAGCATGAGAAAGGATGCTGATTGGTTGGTCAGTAGCTGGCATGGAGATGCAACAGGAACTGCCAACTGTCAATCTTAGTAAATTGACTAAATTCAAACTATTATTTAAGGAAAATTAATTCAAATTTCTGATGAAAAGTTCCAACTTTGTAATTTTTTAGGCAATGCTTAGGTCCTGTAATTAAAAATAAATTGCTTGACATTATTTGATATCTACAATTTAAACATGGATATAGAGACTGGGAAAAGTTGCAAAAATTACTTACAAGGGTATCAGAACTGAGAGGTTATATTAAATAGATAGGGGCTCTTTCCTGCAGAAGAGATGAAAGCAGGGTGAGCGGAGAAAGGTCTTGAGGTTATGAAAAAATTCAATATACGTGGATAAGATGGTTCCAGATGAAAGGGAATCCAATACCAAGCAGGTCCTTAAAAAAAAATTAAGAATGCTACAGAAAATTCTTCACCAATAGAGTACTCAGAATGTGTGAAATGGATTTATGAACCATCTCACAACCCATCAAGCCAAAGCAAAAGCAAGTCATTGAAAAACAGGAGAGTGTGGGACTTGGCTAAAAGGACTGGTGGAGGGAAATGATGCGTGATAAACATGCTGGAGAAAAGAAGGACATGATGATGTGGTGAGGAGGAACAGGCAGAGGTTAATATAGACACAAATATTTCAGGCCAGTTTATCCAAATGACCTGATTCTGTGCTGAAAACTCTTAAATAATACCCTCTTACACAAAATAAAAAATACCAGAGAAACTCAGTAAGTCTGAACAAAAGACTGGGTCACTGGACTCGAATGTTAACTCTCTTTCTCTCCATATGTGCTGTCAGACCTGCTGAGTCTCACCAGAAATTTCTGTTTTTGTTTCAGACTTCCAGCATCCTCAATTGTGTGATTTATTCTATCGTCTAATTAAGGTAATGCCCTCTGTTGCGTCACAATTGTCACCAAGTTTCCCCAATATAGATCTACATAATAATCAAAATTGCCTCTCAATGATAGTCTCCTATCTCTTCCTCATCCATGGATTAATTTCGGATTTCAAAGAAGAATGTAATTCGGAAAACAAACTACATTTTTTTTTAAAAATGAACAAAATTTAAAATAACTTACTGCTTACAGAACAAATACTAACATTATAAAAGTTAAATTTCATGCTGCTATACTTGACTTTAGATTTGCCCAGAGATTGTCACTTCTCCCTAGACAGCTCTACCTTCCCGCCCTTTCTCAATCTTTGCGCCCAGCTTCCCCCACCCTCCGACGCTCATCCGCCCGAAACCTCCCATCAGCAGCCGCCCACCGACCGCGCTCTCCTCGGCCGCAGCATCCAGGAAACATCGCTGCTTTGTCCGTTAAGGTTGGCCGCCTACCGGATACCGTTCCTCCCGCCGCTTCCCAGGGGACCTGAACCGATTTTTCGGGGTTTAACTGTTTTAACGGTTCGGGAGACGCCCGCAAACCCACGCTCTGTCAGACTGAGGCTCTCACCGTAAAGACACCAACTGAGGCCGCCATCCCTCGCCAAGGGCCGCCATCTTGGCCAGACAGAAGCGGGCAGGCGGAAATAAACGAGCACAGAGCATATCGATCCATGTTTCCCCGGGGGGGCGGTGAGAACTATTCACAATGACCTCCAAGTCTTTGTGCAACTTTCTACAACTTAATCATTCTGGAAGGAGAGATGAAGTAAGCAACTTGGAAAAGCCACGTGACAGCACAAATCATACATTTTCCACAGAAATACAGCTCCAATTTCTAGATTTTAGCATCATGCCTTCTTCTTGTCATATCCGTCTTTTCCAACAGTTTAGCTCCCCATCCGAATGTCACCACTTGCAGTATCACTACTACAGCATTATCACGACATGAGTATGAAAAGAAAACTCAAATAACGAATTGCTTTCGCCTTGGACTGTTCATCACGTAAACAACGCAACTCGTTGCCTTGTACTCACTAGTCTTCTTCTAACATGGGTTGTAAAAATGGATACCGTCTGGACAAGACACTAAGTCAAAGTGACATAGAGGATCCCAGGCTGCAGCTGGAAACTGAACAGTCCAGATGCTCATATTTCACAAATGACACGTTCTCAAGTATTAGTTTGTTACCCGCAACAATGCAAATGACATTTTGTTTTCACAAATATGCATAGTGCACCTATGGGCAAGTAATTCCTCATCAGATAACACAAGTGATAAAATTAAGAAATAATCAATGTTAATGTATGTGTATGTTTCTAACTCGAACAAAACGCCAATAATAACTGTAATTACGTCATGTTTCCTACAGGAGGCAGAAGGATAAGGTAAAAGTTACACGGTTTCAACATAGACATCCTTTTCCATTGTCCTAACAATAAATCTGACGGTAATAATTTTAGAAAATAAGTTCCGACGAAATCAGTATAAAAATCATAACATTTTCTATGAATTTAATCATAAAAGTGGATACATTTCATTAAACATTTTAAATTCAAAAATGAAATGAGAAAAAAATCCGAATTAATATCAACAAAAAGATTTGAAAACAAAATACGTACATCAAAATTCTAAAGAAATGTAATGAGGAACAAATATTCTAAAAGTTGTTTCATGGGAAGTAAAGTAAATTTAATACACCCCAGATGGGACTCGAACCCACAATCCCTGGCTTAGGAGGCCAGTGCCTTATCCATTAGGCCACTGGGGCTGCATGTTTTAAGGAGGAATTGCAGCATTTAAATACTTCGCTCGAGATGGTGTTTCTGATTTTTATACTGTAATTGATTTTTCCCCTTCCATCTCATGCGCATTTTAAATGCTAAATTGCTGGCTGCTTGATGAATTGATCTCGCCTTCGAGCAGACAGGAAAAAGGAATACTATGTAGCTACTCGAAGCTATTTTGCACAGCAGTGTAAAGATATTTGCAGTAAGTGGGGATAGTGAAAGTGGAGTTGAAAACCGAAAGAACTGCGGATGCTGTAAATCAGAAACAAAAAGAAAACATTGCTGGAACAGCTCAGCAGGTCTGGCAGCGCCTGTGAAGAGAAATCAAAGTTAACCTTTCTCATCCAGTAATCATTTTGTTTCTGAGTAAGTGGAGATGTTGAGTAAAACTGCAATGAGAACAAATCAACTGAATCTTGGTGGGCACTCAGCCCATCGTGGCTGTGCTGTCTCTGAAAGCTTTATCCAGTGTGATGTATATCCAAGTCCTTTAATTGCCTTGTTCAAGTTTCTATTGAGCCATCCTTTGCTGTGATCTCAGCGAAGGCACAGGGATTTTGACAGAGTAGTTGAGAAGTGAACGTCAGAAACGTCCAAAATCCCTGCAGAGAAATAGGCTTATAAAAATCGGACACCCCAGATGGGACTCGAACCCACAATCCCTGGCTTAGGAGGCCAGTGCCTTATCCATTAGGCCACTGGGGCCCCAGCAAATCAGCTGGTTGTTGCCTATCTAAGGGCAAGAACGACTTTTCTATTGGTTGTGTTGATATCAATTTTATGTTTGTACTCTGCCAATATTGCCAGCTGACCCACAATTCACATATGATATTCATAATAAAGTAAATGGAAATTATTTAAAGATTGGTCTTCCAAGATTGTAAATCATGGAGCTGTGGTTATGCATATGGTATACCTGCCTTTATTATGGAATTCCTGAGGAACTTATCAGCCATGATTGAATGGCGGAGCAGACTCGGTGGGCCGAGTGGCCTAATTTCTGCTCCTGTGTCTTATGGTCATATGGTCTTTATTAGTAGAGGTAAAAACTGCTGAAGCTGTAAATCAGAAACACAAACACAGGTCTGGCAGTATCTGTGGAGAGAAATCAGAGTTAACATTTCGGGTCGAGTGACCCTTCTTCAGATCCCTTCCCGAAGTTCCTAGGAAGGGTCACTGGATCTAAAATGTTAACTTTGATTTCTCTCCACAGATGCAGCCAGACCTGTCGAGCTTTCCAGCAATTTCTGTTTGTGTTTATTAGTCAAGGCATTGAATACAATTACTGGGAGGTTATGATGGAGCTGCATATGATGTTAGTTAGGCCACAGCTGAATTACTTGGAGAACCCAGATTGCGGATGGGACAAAAATAGATGGGAGGGAAACTATGAACAATAACGCAAAGAGTTTACAGGGGAGATAGACAGGTTGAATGAATGGGCAAAAACTTGGCAGACGGAATATAATGTGGGAAAATGTGAGATTATGCAATTTGGCAGGAAGAATAGAGCAGTTGAACATTATTTTAATGGAGAAAGTCTGAAGATAATTACAGCACAGAGGGATTTGCCTGTTTTTAAAAGACAAAAACAGAAATTGCTGGACAAACTCAGCAGATCTGCCAGCATCTGTGGGAAGAAAGAAAAGTTAATATTTTGAGTCTGGTGACTCTGGTAGCTAGGAAAACTGGCATTTATGCTGAAGCCAAATCGGGGACAAAGGAGGTGGTGAAAAGATAGGTGGAGACAGAGCCCAGAGATAGAGATATGAAAGGGGCCGGTAAACAAGGAGATAATGGATAGCAGGCCAAGACAGATAACAAGCTGAATAAGAGATAATAAGAGCTAAGAGTGAGAAAATGGGTTACTGAAAACAAAAAATGCTGGAAATCACAGCGGGTCAGGCAGCATCCATGGAGACAAAGCAAGCTAATGTTTTCAGTTTAGATGACTCTTCA